TATAAAAAAAAAACTAAAAAAAATCTCTACAAATTTTTATAGCGGAATATCACATAGTAATGCCTATTGACAAAATTTTTGTAGTTTTTTCATGCAGTGAATAATTCAAGAGTTGCGTCTTCTTGTGTAACAACACAATTTAAAGCTATCTAAGAACATCTCTTGATCTCGATTAGCGCTTTTAAAAGCGCTGCGTAGTTAAATAAATAAAGCTCAGCTATTCCGGATATTATCCAATTCAGATGCTATCTGCCTTAATTTCGCTTTCAGCCAGACAGCATTTATGAACTGCCGCCTAAATTTACGAGCTAATGAAGCTCGCTCGCTCTCGCTCTATGGGTGTCAGCTGGCACCACGCCCACTTTCGTGGTGCTTCCCCGGAGGCGGCAAATGACAAAACGAACTTAATCTATTAGAGGCGGAGCGTGTCGCTGCCAAATAGTCTAGTGTCAAGGTGATAAATATTGCCCACAAGTCAAATGCAAAGTAGGCCAATGGGGCGGGGCAGCCAGAGCGAGCCGAGTCTAAGTCTGTTGAGGCCAACAGGGTATCAGAGCTGCCTGGCGGGCATAAATCAAAATCTGCGCGTCGCACGCATTTGCCAGCCAATTTTCCGTTGCCTACTTTTTGGCGCGCGCTTTAAGTATATACCTGGAGTAGGAGGGGGGACGGTGTGTTGGGGCAGGCAGCGCGACAGGTGTCGCTGTTGCCCCGTAGGCAATTATTTCGTTTTCAAAGTCGCCCCGCCGCCTGGGGAATCCATCAGCGGGAATAGCTGCTCTCCAGGGGCAAAGCGACAGCAACTACTTGTGCCGGCTGCGCCTTCTGCCTGCGCCTCGGCGGCTTTCTTCCCATTACTAATTCAGTTTCATTTAAATGGGCCGCAGCTTAATGAGAAAATTGCCTGCGGTGGGCGCACACTGGGATTTGCTACAGCTTCAGCTTCAGCCTTGGCAGTTGTTGCTGCTGCTGTGGAGCAGGTGTTGGATTGCTGCGGCTCGAAAATGTTTTATGCTGCAGGCTCATGCCACATGCGATGATATTCAAGTTGATGCTGCTGCTGCTCCAGATGCTATCGCACGGCCTCAGCTCAATGGACAGCTCAACGCGGCGCCCTTACGACCACGCCTACCGCGTCAACGTTAGCCGCCGACAAAGCCGTGACGTGGCATTTAATTTATGATGGCAGTTTGTTATGTCGCGCCTGTCACAACAAAAACAAACAGTCCGGCAAAAGATAGAGGACGCCAGCGAGACACAGAGAGACGCGATAGCAAAGGGTGGCACGTTGGGCAGTTCCACAGAGAGGCGCATAAAAATGACCCAACATAAATTTAATATTCTTGCTTTATTATTTAATGGCAGCGCAACACGCTGGGAAAAAAAACCGCCAAATAGAGAGAGAGAGCGAGAGAGATGGTTGAGAAAAAGATAGAAGTAGAGCAAAGCGTCTGGCGCCCAACGTGGGACTACAGCAATGATAGGGCTGGGTTTTGGTCTGGGTTTTGGTCTGGGTTTTGTGCTTGGTTTATGGCTGCATTTCAGTTTGTCACGTTGTCTTATCGACCACATCATCATCATTATCATCGTCATCGGTGCAGATAATGTTTTGTTATAATTACCAGCGGCTGTCAATGATCATTAGCATTATATGCTTGATGACACTGAGACCTGATGCCCATTGGCCCCACTCCAATGCCAATTAATAAACTTAATGCAATGCCAATTATCGTTAGCAAGTCAGGCCAAAGAGTCGTCACTCGGCACGTTGTCACTTATTTTAATTGAATCGATTCGATTGGGGGTGTACGCTGCTTCAAAAATGCCTGCCAACCAAATGGACATTTCTCTTCTCGTCTGCTTCTGCTGCGGCTGCTGCTGCTTCTTCTTTCCCTTTTTTTCTCTCTTATAATTTCCGGGCAAAGGAACTTGTCGTAATGGAAAATGACGTGGCGGGGCATGGCATCACAATTTGAAATTTGATAGCGCGGCGCTGGTATTTCGCAAAAAGGAAATTGAAATTTATATCTAGCCAATATGCAAATTGATAAGAAATTAGCTAAATTATTCGACTTTCGCTATGCAGCGCGCGAAATGGGCTACATTTCCCTTCAAATGCGCCCTTTCCGAGTGCACATAAATATATATACCATATATATATATATATATATCATTGTTTTCTTTTAATAAGCACTTCTAAGGCGGGCTGATGAGTCTTTCTGTATATAAGAAATCCTTTTGCTAAGTAGCTTTATAAGAAGGAGTTGAAGAATGCTTTGGGAAGCCGGCTGCAGAATTAATTTGAATTGAACTTTATTTTTCCATTAAAAACAACATTCACAATTAAATGAAAGGGTGGAGTGGGGGTTATTTATAACTCATTGGCTTTTCAGTCAAATAAAAATCCCATTATAATTTATGTTGCAGTTCTTTCAAGTGAGTTAATTGAAGAGTAGGTATATAACAAGAGTCGAGTGCATCGAAGCCAGCTTGATTACTCCAAAATAATTATGCTTACCGCTGTGACAAAAGCTATAACAAAAGTGACAACTCCGTCCGTCTGTCTGTTTTTATAGATATATCTTGAGGATAACTCTGGAAGAAACTAGCTACTATGAAGGATGATGAACTGTTTTTTCCCCATATGTATAACAATTGTCTAAAGAAAATGCAACTTTGCTGTCAGTTTTTTCTGCGATTATGTTATCGATTGTATTATCGATTCGTTTCCAATCAGTAATTTCTATTGGATAAGTCTACACAGACTATATTAAAAAAACCACCTGGTTTTCTAAACTTAATCTTTCTCCTTTGCTTTGCTTGTGCAAAACCCAAATGTTTTTAGTAAGAAATGCAAGTTGAAAACCTGACCAGGACTATAAAAGGGTTTGCAATACGCAGAGCACTTGATTAAATCCTTTAATAAGCATTAACATTCTCTGAAAGTCAGATATTACAACAGGCCGACAAGCATCCGGTTTAATCTCAACAGAACCTAGTCCAACAATAGCTGTGTATATTTGTAGCATACTTTACTGCGTTAGCTGCCCATCAAAAAAAGTTGCGGCCAAGCCAAACGACTGGGCCAAAACAACAAATCATTCGAATGCAATTTGCAGTCATTAGAGAGAAAAAACCAACGCAGTAGGCGAGGGGGGTGGGGCGAAGGGCGTGACTTACCAATTTGTGGCGCCGCTGGCGCTTTGGTCGGCTAATGAAGTTCTGGAATTAATGCTGGAATTTAGCAGCGTCGACGCCGCAGCTGCTGCTGCTGGTGCTGTGGTTGCTGCTGCTGCTGCTGCTGGCGCTGCTTCCACAGTTGCTGCTGCTGCTGCTGCTGCGGCTGGCATGGCGGCAGCAACGGCAGCGGCTGTAGTTGCATTGGAATTTATTTGGTTGTGCAAAAGTGTTTCAAACAATGTTGTCGACATGCCGACGCCGACGCCAACGCCGCCAGCAGTTTTGGTCATTGTCGTTGCTGCTGCTGTTGCTGCTGCTGCTGTTGCTGTTGCTGTTGGTATGTTGCTGCTGGGCCTCAAATATGGATGAAAACTTTTAGCAGCACCTGTAAAAGTTGTTGCCGTTGCAATGGCGCCCGTTGCGGGCGTTAGATTTTCTAAATACTTTGCTGGTTGCTGCTGTTGTTGCTGTTGTTGCTGCTGCTGTTGCTGTTGCAAGTTGTTATTGTTATTGCTATTTAAATTGTTAGTGTTGTTGCTGCCGTTATAGAGACTGCTGCCATTGGCCATACCATTAGCGACATGTGCAACAGGTGCCGTTGTAAGCATTGTTATTCCTGTTGTTGTTGTCGTTGTCGTTGTTGTTGTTGTTGTGTCTGTGATTGTTGCTGTTGCTGCCTCAACAGTTGCCTCAATGTTTCCTGTTGTTGTTGCTGTTGTTGTTGTTGCTGCTGTTGTTGGAATGCCGCTTAGTTTATCCGCGCGCAGTTTCAAAGATTGCAACATCATTTGTTTTATTTCACCTTTTATTATTATTGCTCGCTCTCTCCCCCTTTTCCTCTCTCTCTCTCTCTTTCTGTCGCTCTTCCCTGTTGCTGGCGCTAATTACTTTTAGTGCTGCTGTTACTGTTGCTGCTGCTGCTGCTGCGGCTGCTGCTGCTGCATTTGGCGACGTTTCCCTTTTAATTTGCTGCGGGTTTTACTTTTATTAAAATTGTATATTATCTCGCATTTAATTGCTCCGCTGCGCGTTTTGCCTCGTTTTGCTCGTTTTGCTTATCACAGTTTTATCTCTCACTAAAAACTTTACTATTTTTTTTGTTATTCTATTTATTTATTTTCCTTTTTATTTTCATTTGTTTTGCGCATCGAGCAGCACTTTGCACTTGCACAGTCCGTGGGCTGTTCTGTAATTAAATCATAAAATATAATTGTTTGTTAATTCAACAACTTGCAAGAGGTGTTCAAATTCGCGGATGAGTTACTTATTGTAAATGGGCAAATGGTGTTGATAATTGGCCAGATTTGAAAAAGTTGTTTAATTTTATATCATTTAAATTCTGATGGAGATTGGGAACATTCAAAACTAAAAGTGCATATATTCAGCTTATATTACTGTTATTATTTGTATTATTATTATTATTACTATTATTATTATTGCTATTATTATTATTATTATTATTATTATTATTATTATTATTATTATTATTATTATTATTATTATTATTATTATTATTATTATTATTAATACTACTATTATTATTATTATTATTATTATTATTATTATTATTATTATTATTATTATTATTGTGGTAATAATTATTATTACTATCATTATTATAATTACTTTTATTAATATTATCAATTTTACTTTTATTTTTATTAATGGTATTATTATTATACGCATAGTAGGACCCTCCAAGCTAAATTATATAAGCAGGGGATTCGAACTAGTATTCTTCTTACTAAAATCTTTGAATCAGTTGCATTTTAGTAAGTTTTTTAGATTTTATTCTAATTATTTTCAATCTTTTTTCACAGATATTCCAACTCAGTATGCGAAAAATAAATAAAAAACGGAATACAACAAATTTGAAGAGGACACAATTCGTGAAGAAAGAACTAAAATGCAGGTAAGCTGGATACTCTTTTCAAATACAATCATTTGTTCACTTTCAATTGAAAACTAATATAAATGAAAAGTGCATACTTCAACAAATTGTAATTAATAACTCGCACCAAAAATAAAGCTATAACAATTGCACAATCAAAGAAACTCTGAATTGATATAACATAAAGCAATAATCCTATACGCTCGAATAGAGTGCACGTCATAGATAATTTAATTAATATTAATTTAAGTGCTTAATTCAATAATTCAGCACAACTATAAATGAGCAACCGCACAGCTAAACAAAATGAGCTTTCATTTAATTTTTTTGTATATTTTTTTTTTGTGGTGCGCATCGTAACCACATTCAAAATGGCTACCAAATTGAGCACTTGCTCCCTCCCAGGCCCGGCTTGCAGCTGCATAGCTAAGCGCATTTCAATGGACGCATATTGACAGACTGACCGCAGTGACGGGCCACTTGACTGTCTGCATTCAAGTGCTTGGCTTTGATAAAGCGCTAACACACACGCACACACACACACACACATGCACAGTGGAGTGGCCATGTAAGCCAAACATGCTTGTAGCTGCCGCTAAACAGATAAGCATTTGAGTGCTCTAAAGCACACACACACTCACACAGACTTATATATATATACATATATATACTGTAAGAGCTCAGGCTGAGCGCTCAGCCATTATGTTGAAGGCCCCAGCTAATTAGTTAAATTGAAATCAAATTATTTGTTGTCGCACTTGACTGGCCACAGGCATGGCCGCCTTAATTAACGCGTTTCACACACACACACACACACACACACACACACAAACAAACCACCACACACACACATACACATACACATACACATACATATGCACTTATGCCTTTTGCGAGATTAGCCTGATTATGCTCTGTTTGTGCGCCCCTTGAAAATTTCAACGCGTTTCACATGGCGTATGCGCAACGCTTCAACAAATATGCACTTAAAATTTGGTAGCTACTTTAACCTGGCTACTTGCCTGCGCTTCTTCTTGGCATTTTCTATTATTTTTTAATAAATTCGCAACGTTCGCATATTTTCGCGCTTTTCTATTTTTGTTGATTTTCAGTTATTATTTTGTTTTTTGTTTTTCTTTTTTGGCGTCCGCTTCACTTGGCCAGACGCTGGCAACTGGCAACGTGTCGTGAAACGCTTGTTGCACCCCACCAACAGAAGATTCTCGTTGTGTGTCTGTGTTGTTGTTTTTATTGTTCTTGTTGTTTTTGTTGTTGTTGTTGTTGTTGTTGCTGGGCTGCCAGCTTCGGTTTGCCAGCGGCATTTCTGCTGCCACGTTGCCACACGCTTATCCAGCGCCATCAAACGATGTCGACGACAACAGCGACGCCAATGCCTGCTGGTGTATATATATATATAACTAATATAGGGTATTTAGATACCCTAAGTTTCATATAAAGCTTGCAACAGCGTGCCGACAATTGGAGAACAAAATGTATATATCAATTTTAATTTGATATAGTTTAATTCAAAAGTTTACGTTTGGGAAATGGCTTTTTTGGCTCTTTTCGCTAGAGTAACACATTTTTAGTAGAGAACGGAATAAAATGGTATTGATATATGAGATTTGTGATAACTTATGTATAACTATTTATTATCTAATTCATAATTAAACTGCACTAGTGACTAATATTCAATATGAATGACAATCAAAGCCATTCGTCCCTGTCGTCTTTCAGCCTGTCGTCAATAAATATGTAGTATTATCTAAGCCGCAGACCTGAGATTTGAGGGCTTGATTGATAATGTTTGTAATACATAGTATAATACATAGTTAATGTAGAGCAGAGAATGCAAATAAAAAGAGTTTGAGCATAGAGCACAGAGTTTTCTAAAAGCATTTGCAAAATAGAATAGAATTGCCAGTAAAGAACTTTTATGTCCAATCATGATGTAAACTTTATTTATTGTTGGCTAAATTTGTAAAATGAAATTTAATCAGTTCTGATGAATCATAGGGAATCCAATCAAAATTATTATAAGTTCAGACCAAGCTTATAAGTAAATTAAATTGTCTAGAAAAATCTTCTGAAATTTGTTTTAAAATCTTTTAGAAACCATATTAAATAAGCTAGCTAGACAATCGCAAATTCAACAACTGGTTATGTGGCTTCTGCTATGTTAGAGCATTTCAACTTCGGCGTGTTATGAACAGATTTCGTATTACTGTGTTTTTGTTTTTGCTGCATTATGAGCAGTTAACGTTGCCGGGTTGCTGCGGCTCCTGCAGCCTTATCGTGGGCAGGGGCAGACGCCCAGCGGAGGCAGCTGTGTCATCCTCGTGGCTGCTGCTGCTGTTGCTGTCACCTTGTAATTTTATTTATCTATTGATTATTGAGTATCTCTTTTCTATTTATTTGCCTTTGTTTGCACACGCAGCGTGCTGACAGGCAGACGACGACAGCGCCAGCCCCCGCAGCCGAGACTTGAACAAAATATCCCCCCAATCCCCTTTACCGCACTCTTAGCCTGACATTTTTATTAAAGCCATTAGGGGTAGGGTTTGCCATACTATCTCTGTCATGTGCGTATCTGTGTGTGTGTAAATATTTTGTGCCTCTGGCCTCTGGCTGTTTTTTAATTAACTTTAGTGACAATATTTTGCACAGTTTGCCAACAGCTCCCCCTCCCCCTCCCCATCGGTGCCTGACCTAATCTGCACCCTGCAGCAACCAGCCACAGTCACTGAGATAATCAAACTGTGTATGCCCAAAGTATGCAAATGTAGGCAAGTGATTCTTATGCCTGACCCAAATTCCATAGCCCATCTCTCTCACTTTCTCTGTCTATGTTTGTGTGCCTGTCTCTGTCTCTGGCCCTGTGCCTATCTCTCTCTTCTTGTCTCTGTTTTGTGACAGTGACACTGCCGTTGACATCTCACAGCTTGTACTCTATATAAGAATCACATGTCAGCAGGCGCTGCAAGGCAATATCCATGGGGTGCGTGGCACTAACTGACATTACACTGCACTACACTACACTACACTACACTACACTGCAGTGCACATATGTGTGCCGCTGGCCTGTGTCAGCTTCATTCACTTGTTGAGCGAGTTTTCCTTATCTTATCTAGTGTGTTGTATATGTTTGTATAGTGGGTTTTTATTGAGTTTGTTTTCGCTCAGTTTCTTCTTTTTTTTTTTTTGGGGGCACTAGCTACGCGCTGTACTATATCCAAAGGCAAATAGAGCTCTACCTGCAACTGCGAGTTTAGCTAGTTAATCAGCTGTTATCTTTTAGCTATAAAACATAGAAACAATTTCGTCATGTTTCAGCTGAAATTAAACTAAAGTCATTCCGTATTCTACGTATATTTGACTGTATAACACTTTGTAAATCAGCTTTGACTTTAATCGCAATTAAAGCGAACTCATTAAACATCAATTGTCGCGGAGTAGTTCATAAAGCAAAAGTGCTTCAGCGTAAACCCGTTTTATAACAGTTTGTATAACAGCAAGATATAGTATAACAGTTGCGAGCTCTAGTAATTAATGTCTATACAATGATTTTGCATTATCGCTGAAAATGCTATACTTACGTATGGCTATAGATCGCTGTAGCTTACGCAAGTATCTCAAAGATACAAATGTATCTCAAGCACTTTGGCTGTGTTTGCTGGTCACTGGTCAAGTGAACTTTGCTTTATTGTTAACATATGCTCATTTGCACACGCGACATGTCATATCATATTAATATCTAACTGCACACACACTTTTTACAGATACAGATACACAGATATAGATAGATAGAGTTACAGTTACTCGATCAAAGCTGATAATGCACTCGCGAGTTATATGCTCGAACCGCACGACTAGGCCAGCGAAAGGCAACTAAAAGAGCTCCGAAAACAAATTGATTTCATAATTATTTTCACACACTCAGTGAATCCAATTCTCACACACACACACACACACATGCGCTCGCCGTGTGTGCGTGTTATCTTTTGGCTGATAAGAATGCGCTTATCGTATAATTGTTCGCTGATTGTTGTCAGTCCACAGGCAGGTAAACTGCGATAGCGATTTGCTCTCAATTCTCTCGCTCTCTACTTCTCTCTCTCAGTCGCTCACTATCTGTGTATTATCTTGAGCAAACATTTGCCTGTCGCCTAAAGAGGTCTCTCTTGTAGACTGCTCTCAGTGTCTCTCGCTCTCTCTCTGCGCTACCGTTGACTCGAGATTTGTTTATTTTCTTAAGTTTTTATCTGTGCCACAAGCCAAGTGCACTTTCTGCAGGTTGCTCGCATTTTAATTGACATCCGTTTATCAAGCGCTGACTCAGAGCAGCAAAAGGTAAGGGAAACCCAAATGAAATAGAGCACAACATAAAAACTTCACTTACACACAAAATACCCAAGTTTTCGCCCGTAATCTATATGGCAATCTGTCCTAGGGATATGCATTTGCATTTTTATGGCCATTCACATTTTCTTATCAACGCGTGACGAAACGACAAACCGAAAGACCGAAACATGGCCAAGAACTGAAATCGAAATTGAAATACCGCTGCAATTGCTCGGCTCGTAACTCGCGCGTCGATATATCCGTACTATAATGCTCATAAATATAAACTAAACTCATGCACGGCCCGCAATATGTGTGGGAGTTGCTCTATATATATATATAGATATACCACTCGCACACACACACACTCGCACACCAACACACACACACGGCGAAGGCTACTGTGTTGTGGACAGCCTGGAAAAATAAAGAGACCAATGGCCAGGCCACGTAGTATCCAAAGTATCGATGAGTTTGAAGTGGTACGGGCAGGACAATTGGCGGGGGGCTGGCTTACATTCGTGTGACCGCACAGCAGTTCAGCAGAACGTGGCCATAACAGACAAGGGTTAGAGCCAACTCTCTCTCTATATATATATATACAAACGACTCAATACCCAATCGGGCACATAGGGCACACAGGTATTTCACATAGAGACACACACATCAAATATTGCTCG